TTATTTGTCAGAGAGAGAGAGAGAGCACAAGCAGGGGGAGCGGCAGGCAGAGGGAGAGAGGGAGAAGCAGGCTCCCCGCAGAGCAGGGAGCCCATTATGGGACTCGATCCCAGGATCCTGGGATCATGACCTGAGCCAAATGCAGTCACTTAACCGACTGAGCCACCCAGGCGCCCTGAAATGAGAATTAAAATGTTCTTTTCCCTGAGTTTTCTTCCTGTCTCCTGTGCTATCGTGCTAAGTGTGATATGAAAACACAAATAGAAATAAAAGATATTATGGTCATCTCTCTTGAGAGCCATTCATAAAGAGTCAAGTTTATTTATAAATGACATAGCATGAGATCTGGGATTTGCTTCAAAATACTCTGGGAAGGAGTGGGAAGTAATGGGTAAGGATATAGACGAAACAAGACTGGCCTCGGGGTGATAATATTGAAGGTGGGTGTAGGTACAAGGGTAGTTCATTATACTACTTTCTTTACTATGACCATGTATGCAATTTACAATAATAAAGAAAATTTTCTTTAAAAGGCAAGCTGACAGCAACTAGCTGGTTCTCCTTTCAGTGCCGGTGATTACTTGTGTAAAGTCTGTCTTCTCTGCTAGATTGATTATTCCCTCAGGACAGGGACTAGAACTATCTTGTGGTATACTCTCAATGCCTACTACAGTGCGTACACAAAGGGTAAGCACTAAAAAAATGTTTGGTAAATGAATACAAAGGATTAATGATGTGGCCTCTTGAAAAGCTGAGCAGATGAAACTTCCTCCTATTTTCTGATTATCTGATACAATTGGGCTTCAAAGATGGCTCTCTGTGCCTCTTTTCGGGGGTTGATTAGAGCCTAGATAACGATCAGCTTCCTACCTTTCACCTTCTAATCTAACAGCCCCACAGAAAGTAGGTAAGCAATGCTTTAAGAAATTCCATGTGGAGGTAAGTCAGGGTATTTCCCCCTCACAGACTAATTTTAGCTCCAGTTAGGATGATCACAGAGCCCCTAGTAAACACAGATTCCTTTTCCTCCCTTCTATTCTCCTTCTACCACACACAGAAAGGTGCTCTGGGAATGTTAAGGAATATTTTTCAACCCAAGGGAGGAGAACTGGATTTATTTTGTCTTGCTTAAGATGATCTCACCTGGGCTAAATAAAAGAATGCCAGCCATACAAAGGAGGGAATTTCAATAGCAGGTTTAAAATAGAAACATGCATAAATAATTTATCCTTGAAAAATACTTAAGTGAGAACAATACCTGAAAAACGTGTGATGCTCTACACAGACTTTCCATAATTTCTTAGCTGCTCGGTAACTGGGAAGTTTGAATCCAATGGTACTCTCATATTGTTCTTGCTATAAAAATGCGAATAAACATGAAACATGATTATTTGACTAAAGTGATCCAGTACCAGAGAAATATGGTGTTACAGAAGAGGACATTATAAATGAAAAGAATGTTACTACCAGTCTAAGAAATTGAAATTTTTCAGTTGAAATTGAAAATTTTCATTTGAAATTTTTTCCTACTTACCAGAAGAGATCTACTCACTTAAGGTGGCTTTTTCCACAGCAGAGAAGCCAGGGAATGCATTTTATATTATTCATGCATTTTATTTTGTTCAGAACCCACTCCCCCCTTCAGACACTGTACATTTTTCTGAGACATAATTAAGTGACCTTTTGACTGTCCGGACATTACTCTTCCTTGGTTACTGTCTACATTTGGGATACTTGACTACAATATGATCAGGGAAGGGGAAAACATGATTCCTCCAATCAATCAATATTATTATGCAATTGTTTTTAGTAATGGGAGCTAAAGATTTTGGCTCAAACTAGATTCCCGAATTATTAAATGTTTTCTCTTTTCTTCCCTTGACTGACCATTATTTATCTGGAGACCTCTTTGACTGAAGCAAATCATAACCTGCCAAGGATACGAGAAACACTGTCCTGCTAGTCTTTTGCCTCTTTGTTTCTACCTTAAGCATATAAGATAGAAAAGAAACTGACATTTATATTTAGTGCCTACTATTGCCAATAATACTATGATTAGATAGTATCATCTATATTTTTACACATGAAGAAACTAAGATCAGAGAAGTTATTTGCTCAGTCTCATAGCTATCAAGGGGCAGAACCAGATTTTCATGGTTTCTACTACATGCTACTGCTATATCATCCTCTGTAGACGTAACACTTCACATCTCAAAATCCTTTTGTTGTTCCTAATTGCTTTCTTCAATAAGAATTCTATGTTTTAGGGGCGCCTGGGTGGCTCAGTCGTGAAGCGTCTGCCTTCGGCTCAGGTCATGATCCCAGGGTCCTGGGATTGAGCCCCACATCGGGCTCCCTG